CTTCAACTGTTGGACGCTAAATGTGAAACGTACATTTCCCACCACGATCGCCCTCTTCTTTGCCGTATTTCTTTATATTGTACACGACAATCCGGATGAAAGCAGATAAGGCATGTTGTCATTTCACGAGAAACAAAATATTTTTTCTCTTATTTTTTTAATTTCAAGCGAGACTTTTGACGTTATTCCGATAAAATGTATGATCTCTTCTTTGTACGATTTACAATTTATATAACGCAGATCATTAAATAGAAAAGCAAACAAATACCACTTTTTTTTTTACATAGCATCTTTCTATTCCGAAATACTTTCATAATTCTCTTTCATGCTCTTTACGACTAAATTTTTTTCCCTTTGTACGGACAAAGGAATTTTATTTTCCTTTGAAATTATATTTTTTGACTGAAAATCCTCTGGTTTAAATTCAACCCTAATTTGTAGAAGTGAAAACAATACTAAGAGATTTTTGGGGTTAAACCCCAAAAATCTCTTAGTATTGTTTTCACTTCTACAAATTTTTTTCTTTATTTCGATTTTTGGGGTTAAATTTGAATTGCAACGAATTGATATCAAAAAGTGGACCAAACTCGAACTAGTGAAAGTATTTAAAAATACGGACTTTACGGACCAAAAATGAAAAATTACGGACCATTTACGGACCAACTGACAAAAATATAGTCAGGTCGAGTTAAATAAGAGAAATTTCACTTAAAACTATAAATTAAATTTTTCATAATTCTATAAAACATGAAAATATCATTATTTTATATTATAAGAATAATTTGTTACTCTGACATCTTCAAAATTATTTCCATCATTTCTATTCAATTATTATTTTCAAAAATTTTTAACTAAAATTCTTCTTCTTTTATTCAATTTTACGAAATTTCAATTATTGGCAAATTCTTCAATTATTGAATATATTAGAAAATAAAAACTTCAAATAATATAAAAAAATTCAATTAAACTTTTTCAAAAAAATTAATGTCAAAATTCAATTATCTCTAAAAATTCACGCTATATTGCTTTTAATATTCAATTATTATCTAAAATTTTAACAGAAACTCATTTTTAAATCATTTTTTTTTAGAAATTCTACTAGAATTCAATTTAAATAGAAAAATTAAATAATTTATTGAATAATTGAATGTTTCTTAAAATTTCCATAAAGTAATTTCGTCAACAAATTTTTGAGAATAACAACATTTTTCAAGAAATTTGATTAAAATTGTATTATAAAAATAATTAAAATTCTGCGATGAGTTTTATTATTTGTGAAAATAATTGAAGAAGAATTTTATTATTTTTTAATATAATTAAATTTCTGCGAATAATTTTATTACTTTTGAAAATAATTGAATTTCTACAATAATTTTTTAACATCTGCAAAATTAAATATTTTTTTTAGTATTTTTAACTAAAATTCTTCTATAAATCCATTATTTTAAATAATTTTTGAAAATTTTTTCTTTTTGAGAATTCAATTTTACCAAAAAATTTCAAATATTCGAAAATTCTTTAATATTAAAAAATAAAAACTTTGTATAATATAAAAAAAAATTTAATTAAAGTTTTTAAAAAAAATTAATTGCACAAAATTGTTAGTTAAAAAAAAGTAAAATTCAGATTTTCCAAAGATTTTAATTTAAAAGCTTTTCAAAATTCAATTATTTCTAAAAATTCACGCCATAATTCCTTTAAATATTCCATTATAATCTACAATTTTAACTGAAATTAATTTTTAAATCGATTTTTTGTTAGAAAATTCTAGGAGAATTCAATTATTTAAATACAAAAATAAATAATTCATTGAATGTTTCTTAAAATTGAATTTTCATCTTATCAAAACATTTTTAAATAATTGATTTATTTGACGATTTTTAATAAAATTTGTTAAAAACAATCACATTTTTTGAGGAATTCAATTAAAATTGTATTAAAAAATAATTAAAATTCAGCGATGAATTTTATTTATGAAAATAATTGAATTCCTAAAGAGAATTTGATTATTTATGAAAATAATTCAATACCTGTAAAAAATTGGATTATTTATTGAAAATAATTAAATTATTGCGAAGAGATTTATAAAAAAAAAATTGTAAATAATAGAATTCATATAAAATTGAGGAAAATTTTGTTAAAAATTTTTAAAAAATTGAATTTTGACAAGAATTTTATTAAAAATTTAAAAATTAATCGAATTTTGGAAAATAATTTAATTAATTTTTGGAAATAATTGAAATTAGGCAACAATTTATAATTTTTTCAAAATTCAATTTTTTTTAGTGTTTTCGTGTAAAATGCATTTATTTAAATTATTTAAATACAAAAATAAATAAGTTTTTGCATAATTGAATTCTTTTAAAGAATTTTAATGAAATTTTTAAGAATAATTACATTTTTCGAGGAATTCGTTCAAAAATAATTAAAATTCTACGATGATTTTTATTATTTATGAAAATAATTGAATCCCTAAGAAAAATTTTATTATTTACGAAAATAATTGAATTCACGTACAAATTTTATAATTTATGAAAATAATTGAATTCTTGCAAAGAAATTTTTTAAATATTTATAAATAATTGAATTCCTGTGAAATTTTTATAATTTTTTTCGAAAATAATTAAATGTTTGCGAAGAATTTTATTAAAATTTGTTTTAAATAATTGAAAATTCTTGTGGAAAATTTTATTAAAATAGTAGATATTTAAAAAATCATTGAGTTCAGGAAAATTTTTGAAAATAATTGAAATTTTTCCAATAGTTTTATTAAAAATAAAATTTTTGAAAATAATTGAATTTGTAAAAAAAATTTATTATTTCGAAAGATAATTGAAATTTTGACGAGAATTTAAAAAAATTTTTTAGGTTCTTTTTTTAAAAATAATTTCTCTTTAATTTGGTTATTTTGAAAAATTTAAACACATTTTTTCTATGGATATCAAATTGAGTCAAAAAACGTATATATCAAAAATGTTGTGATATAACGTTTTAATACGTTTTTTTTTGTCAGAAAAACTGTGAAAAAAATGATTTAAGAGCTTCAAGAATGAATTTTAAAAGTGAAACAAAAAAAAAGTATTATAAGAAAAATATTTCCAGATATATGGATGAAATGTTTCTCCTGAAGGATGAAGTAAAAGTTTTTGAACAATAAAAGAAACATCTATACATATATATTAATATATATAACTTGACAGAAGTGCGGCGAGAAAACAATATGTAAATTGTAGGTAGTTTCCAATCAAATTCGAAATCCCCTCTTCGTAACGGCCTTCTAACGACGCAATCTAAATTCCAAAGACGCCTATACCACCGAACAACTCGCGTTTAAATGCAAACAGAGAAGGAAACTTGGTGGAAACTCGTCTCAGCAGCAGAGACTTGTGGCAAGAAGACAAGTTGGAAAATCCTTGTACAACGTTTATTTTATCATGTATACCGTGACGTTAAACAATCTAATTTCACACATTTAGCTTATAATCGTTTTTTTTCTACAATTTTTTTTTTAAATGAAGAAAAATGATTTTATTTTCTTATAGAAATCAAAAAAAGGTTATTAATTTTTTAGTATGCAACTTAGGCGCATTATGGTCAGTTACCATGCGTACAAATGCTCGCAGTTCCATAAAGTATCCATTATTACCCTAGGGAAATAATGAGCACTTTATTGACCTACGATCAAGGTCAATAAAGTGACTATTAATGTCCTAGGGTAATAATGAGTAGTTTATTGACCGACGATCAGGGTCAATAAAGTACCCATTACTGCCCTAGGACAATAAAGAACCCATTATTGACCTAGGGCAATAAAGTACCTATTATTACCCTAGGACAATAATGGTCACTTTATTGACCGCTGTTCACAGGTTAATAAAGTAGTCATTATTACCCTAGGGCAATAATGGGCACTTTATTGATCTGGACTATATGGAGAAACTTTGTTGCCTAAAGTGTCATATATACAATGTATAATATTAATTGCATAATTTACCTACTAATTTAATATGAAGAGATTATTTTTAGATTAAAAAAAAAATATGAATATGAAGTATGAAGAGAATGGTAAAAAAAATTTTGTTTCTCCAGCAATTAAATTTTAGAATATTTTATCATCCACTAGGGTTCATACTCTTATTTTGAGTTGTAAATGCAAAATATGTCGAGATTCAAAATACAGTGCCTATGAAGCATAAATTCATTCATTTGTAAATAGTGTAAATACATTCATTTACACTCGAACGTTCACTTCTCCCCCTCTTGATTGTTGCATTACTCACAATAGTCTTTGAATAATGTAACAGGGGTTCTGGAATTTACGCAAAAATGATTTTTACAATTAAAATTCTTGTTGAGAAAACCCTTATTTTTTTGTGTGAAGAAAAATTCTTTTGTTGAACTTGAATTTTAATATTAACTATAATAATCTTCGTATTTCATTCTTTCATTCTATCTGGTCCACACTTTGAAGTTAGTTTTTGTGTATGCTTTTGTTTTCTTTTTTTCTTTAAAAAATATTGTTTGACAGATCGAAAAAATTCTGGTATTTCTTCATGATTTATAGGAAAACAATATTTGAAATTAGAAAATATAAAAAAATCTTAATTTTGTTTATTATATGCTTTTTTCTATAACAAATTTCGTTTGACTGATCTAAATTATGCAAATTTTTCTCCTTTCTATATATAAAAAATAGAAAATTGTTAATTGTTAAAAAATTATAACCACATAAAATACAAAATTTTTTTAATGTCGGAAAATTTAATTTGATTTATGTCCATTAAATACCAAACGCATTGTTCTATTTTTTTTAAATTTGTGCGCATTTCCATTCTCTCCATGAATTGAATACCTAATGATTCACCTAATGATTCGTCGTACTAAATAACCTTCAAAACATCTGCTAAAATAGACAAAGTGTTTAATAACAATTATAACAAAATTAATGTCCGATAACAGAAACGACTCTTATATAATAATTTTTGTTTACATTTGTCTCATATAAGAAGTGCGAATAATGTTGATCGAGATCAGTACAACTGCAAATGATATAACGAAGTAAATTATATATGGTTTTTGTAATAAACTACGTATATGATTCTGTTGGCACAATATTTTCACTGAATAATCACTATAAAAGTTTCAGAATGAAGGTACGTGATTTCATTTTTATTACTTTTGCTTTTGAAATTATTTTTTTTTTGTTACTTTATTTATACAGAGAAAAAAAACCTAAAATTATTTTTCCTGATAGAATAGAGATCATGGTGAACATAAATTGATCCTATGTCGAAGAATTTCTGGAAAACTTTTGGAAACAAAAACCTGGAATTTTACCGAAAATTTTATTAAAAATCTACAAAAATGCGGGGAAAATTTTGAACCAAAATTGAAATGATAGACAGGTCGAGACTTGTATACAGAACTACGCCCTTTTCAGTATTTTACATAATTTTTATAAATATTTATAGAATTAATTAATAAAATAATTAATAAATAATTAATAAATTAATAAAACGAAAAATACAAAAAAAAAAAAAAATGAATCAACATATTTCGATATTCAATATGGAAAAATTTTTTCTCCACCTAAGAACGCTAAGGTCACCGCTAGATGACAGTTCAGTTACTAAAATCAGATTCTCCGCCATTATTCGGAAATTTTCTAAAAGTGAATTCCAAAAATTTTCCTGAAATTCTTCAAAACTTGGGTTGTTGAATAATAGAAATTGAATATTTAAAATTCTAAATATTTAGCTAAATTGGTGTTCAGTCGGTTCAATTTATAAATTAATGTATAATTATTTACAATAGGTATTTGTTATCGCTACACTCTTGATGTTAATCATCGTCTCTGCTAATGGTAATTACAATTATTATTTGCACTACTAATATATAAAAATTATTAATAGTATACAATCAGAAAAAATTTTATTTAAACCAAATATATTTTATTTAAAATAAAACAAATATTTTATTTAAATAAACAAATATTTGTCTCAGAATTGTAATTAAAAATTAAAATTTAATCTTCATGGGATTTTTTTTTTAATTCAGGGAATTTTCGTGAAATGAACAATAACAAATTTCAACTTTAACTTTGCAGCTGTTTTTTATTTGTTTCCCTATATACTTTTTGTTTGCTAAAGAAATTTTAATTTTCTACAGGTGAAACTAATGAAGACAATGATAAAGATGGTGAATCCCATTCGTATTCCTATGCGATTAAGGATGATGGTACAATTGAGTACCATGAAAACAATAATACTAAACCTGGAGAAAGTTGGAGCTGGAGTTGGAGTACTGGAAATGGTTCAAATGGAAATGGTGATGGTTGGCGTGGTGGAGGTGGTGGAGGAGGAGGAGGTTCTTGGAATGGAGGACCAAATGGTGGTGGCTGGAATAGCATATTCAAAAACAAATTAAGACCTGCATAGACAAAAAAAACTTAAATAATGTCAATAGAGGCTTTTGATAACTAAATTGTTTTAAAAAAAAAAATTATTCATTTCCTTTAATTTTAAATTGTTTTTTGTTCATTGATAACCATAAACCGTGTATGTATTGTAGTATTAGACGGCAAGAAACAAAAGCGAAGAAGACAATAAAATGATAAAAAGTAAATAATAATAATTTATTCCATAATTTTTATAATTATTTTTATTAATTATTTTCTTTTAATTATTCTCATAATTATTTTCATGAATAATTATTATAAAATTACGAATATCGACGAATATCTTGAGATTTAAAATGGAGACGCTATTCTCCACTTGAGAACGCAAAGGTCACCGCTAGATGGCAGTTCAGTTGATAAAATCAGACGCCACCTAGTGATGACCTTGGCGTTCTCAAAAACTTCTTATTATAAAATATAAAAGGCTAATTAACTATAATAATCGTCGTATTCTGTCCACACATAATTCAAAAATATTTTTATTAATCTAAAAATATGATTAATGTTATTATTCATTATTTCTTTGTTTCTAAAAAAATTAGCATTTTGTAACAAACGTTTCAGATAATTAACAAATTTAAATCATGCAAAATAGTATCCTTTTTTTTATATGAAAAACTTAATTTTTTGACAAATTGAAATTATGCAGCTATTTTTTCCTTTTTTTTAAAAAAAAACCTTTAAGTTGTTGGAAAATTAAAATTAGAAAGTAGAAAATATTTTGCACATTTTCTGCTTCTCAATTACAATTCATAAACAAACTACAAGTTTTAATTAAAAAAAATGTTATAAATCAAATTTTGTTTACGAAATTTTAAATTTATTTTGAAAAAAATATTTACAAATTTTCTATTTGTTAAAAACGATTGTAAAATTATTCGAAAACATCAATAACTTATTTTTTCAATAAATATTTAATCATTATTATTTTTCCACTGGAATCAAGATTTTCAAAAATTTCAAATTCAAGCCTCTTTGAAAATTAACAACTTATAAGAATATTTAATATAAAACATGAAGAAATTGATTACTCCGAGTCGAAGACTCGGAGTGATCGGTTTCTTCATGTTTTATATTAAATTAAAGATAATCGAGTGATAAAATCATTATTTTATATAATAGAAATATTTTTACTGTAATTTTTTAAAAATTATTTTCATCATTTTAATTCAAATATAGATTTTTAGAATTTTTAAATAAAATTCTTCTTTAAATCAATTATCAATTATCTTTAATAATTTTTGAAAAAGTTCTTTAACAATTTTCAAATCCATTTATGTTTACAATTCAATTTTACGAAATTTCAATTATTCAGAAATTTTTCAAAATTTTTGTACTAAAAAAATAAATACTTCAAATAATTTCAGAAAAAAATTCAATTAAACTTTTTCAAAATAATTAATTCTACAGAATTGTTGATTGTAAGTGTGAAAAATTAAGATTTTCAAAGAATTTAATTTGAAACTTTTCAAAATTCAATTATTTCTTAAAATTCATAATATTTGAATAATTTGAAGAATAAATATTCAAATCTAAAATTTTAACTGAAATTCATTTTTAAATGAATTTTAATTTTTATTTAGAAAATTCGACGAGAATTCAATTATTTAAATGCAAAAAGAAATAATTTTTTGAATAATTAAATGTTTCTTAAAATTGAATTCTCATAAAAAAATTTATCAACAAATTTTCAAGGCATTGAATTCTTTTGACGAATTTAAATAAAATTTTTCAGTATATATAATTACATTTTTTGAGGAATTCGATTTAAAATTGTATTAAAAATAATTGAAATTCTGCGATGAGTTTTATTTATGAAAATAATTGAATTTCTAAAAAGAATTTTATTATTTATGAAAATAATTGATTTTCAAAAAAGAATTTTTATTATTTATGAAAATAATTTAATTCCTATTAAATTTTTTATTACTTATTAAAAATAATTTTAAAAATTTGTAAATAATAGAATTCATATAAAATTGAGAAAAATTTTTGAAAATAATTTAAATTTTGCCAAAAAATTTATTAAAATTTTTTAAAAATTTGAATTTTGTCAAAAATTTTACTAAAAATTTTTAAAATAATTGAATTTTGGAAAAGAATTTGATTACTTTTGAAAATAATTAAATTTATGCAATCATTTATAATTTTTCCGAAATTCAATTTTTTTTTAGTGTTTTTGAGTAAATTTCGTCTATAAATCCACTATTTTTAATAATTAAATAAATATATTAAAAAAATTTAACAAATTTTAGAAGAATTTGAATTATTAAAATTTTGTAAAAACCTAAGTAATCTTTAAAATTTCTAATGAAATTTATTGAAAATTTGAAATTTTATAAAATTTTAATATTCATCTATTTATGAAAATTATAAACGCATCTCATTGAAAATTCAATTAATTTTTAATTCAATTCAATTAATTTTTAATGTTTTTTTGTCAACTATATTTTATTCGTATACTAAATGAGAATTTTTTTTTAATCTAAAAATAAGTAGCTAATTAAAAAAATATATATTTCTTTACCGAACATAAAAGTTTTTACTCATTCACCTTCAAAATAAACAGATAGTTCTAAATAATAATTATAACAAACTAATTGTCCATAATGATAACGCAAATGACTTTTTTATATCTTTGTTTGCATTTTCCTTATATAAAAATCGCGTATATATAAATGTTTCTTGAATGAACTACGCATAAATAATTTTCTATTGACACAATGTTCTCACTGAATAATCATTACAAAAACTCCAGTACAAAGGTACGTGAATTAATTTTTGATTTAAAAATAATTTTTCAATTTGTTTTTATTTTGTTAATACGTAGAAAAATATTTCAATTTATTTACTTATTTTTTGACGGTCGTTATATTAAACTTTGGTTTTTTTCTGCTAAATAATTACTAGTTGTAAATTAATTATTCTGAATTCTAATTATTTTTCTATAAACTGTTTAATCAGTTTTCATAGATTTAAATTATCTAGATTATATGTATTAAATTAAAATTATTTATTTCAGGTACTTTTGATAGCTGCACTCATTGTATTAATTATCGTCTCTGTTACCCGTGTGGAAAATGAAAATTGGTCCTAGCCAGGTCCTACCTATTTTGCCCTGTTAATAGCTTGGTCCTAGGTTGGCAGTGTAGGTTGGACCAACAATGGGTGGTGATGCGATTTTAGCCTGGTCCTAACTTGGGAGCCTAGTTAGGACCAGTTTATGGGTCCATTTTAGGACCTAGAAAGGACCATCTCAGACAGTATTTTCTATTTCATTATAATTTTAATTAGTTAATAATATTTGTTAAAGAAATAACCTAAATTATTAATAATAAGTATTAGTTTTAATTAATTATTATTTTTTTCAATTAAGTGATGACCAAAAGCGAATTCATAAATAATGTTAGTATATGTAGAGATTAATATATATTCCTCTAATATATACATTAAAAATTATAAAAAAAATTAGAAATTTGTTAATTAAATTATTTTACAGTATATATAATCATTAAATTGCATACTTATACGAATACAATGCAGAAAAATCGGAATAAACGCAAACCTAAGAAGTAAATAAAATCTAACGCACGCGGGAATCGAACCTACGACCTACGGACTACGAGACTAACGCCCTAACCACTATGCTAATGAAACTAGTTGAGATCAAAATTTTTATTGTCAGTGACTTGTGGACTTGCTTTTGATGATTCAATATAGTAATTATTGACACTAATACACAATAATAAATAAAAAAATAGTTTAACAACAACAATAATAATAAAATAATATCCAAATATAAAAATTCAAAAATTAATATTTTTATATTATATCAAGAAAAAAAATATCTATACATTTTCGTTAAAAACAGGTTTTTCATTGTTCTCAATCATTTTTAACATTAATTTCTTGGTCTAAAAAAAATATTCGTCTTTTGGACTTGGAAATTTTTCCTAATTAATTAAGCGGGTGATCCACTTTTTAAAAAAATGTCAAAAAATTTATGTTAAAAACACGTTTTTCATTATTCTAAATCATTTTAAGCATTAATTTTTTGTTGCAAAAATTTTTTTAGACTTGGACTTAGAAATTTTTGCTAATGAAACTAGGAAGCCCAGGTAGGTCCTGGGTTGGACCTGGGTGGGTCAGCCCACATTCGAATTGCAATATCTCTTAGTGTTTAGCACCAACTTAAACGAAACTTAAAATCAGCGAACGAAATTAGAAATATATTTTACTAATGATAATTATATTGCAGTCTGTATCTGTTTAAATAAATAAATAAATTTTGCTGTTATATTAACTTTTGTAACAAATTACTTAAAAATTTGCAGTTTTTATCTAACTTCGCGATTATTACACTTGAGTAGTGAAATATGAAGATAATTTATAATTTTAACAATTCAGCATTTGTTTAAACAAAAAATTGTTGTTATTTATTAATTCTTAAGACAATAAAGCGTCTAGACACTTGTAGTCTTTTAAAATTTTGCAATTAACTAATCTGAGTATTTACTTATTGCAAAATTAGAAAAAACTGCTAGTTTCTAGGTTGATTGTGTAAAAAGTTAGTAAATAACAATTATTTGTTTAAACAATTGCTGAATTAATAAATTAATAAATTAACTTTATTTTATAGTCTTTGTATAATTTTCTGATTTATGTCAAACAATAAATTGTTTAAACAAATATGATTATCAATTAATTTTATAAATATTAATTGAGAATATTTATAAATTTTTACATGTTTTTCATGTATCAATTTTGACACTTTATTTTCCTAAAAATTTTTCTAAGTCATAACTGGATCTCCTAGCTAGTACCAAGTTAGGACCAGCCTAGGATATATAAAAAGGGGTTGCCAAGTTAGGTCCAAGCTAGGGCCAATAATCATTTTAGGCATAGCATGGTGATTTCTACACGGGTAATGGTAATTACAAATTTTATTTCCACTGCTAATACTAAAATTATTGATAGTCTCCTACACTGAAAAGAAAATTTTTTTAATCTAAAAATAAGTAGTCAACCAAAAAATTTGTTTGAATTAAAATAAGAATTGAATATTTATTGAATACCTAATAATAATTAAATTAAACGTAATTTTTATTGAATCAAACTGAAGTACTTAATCAAAATTATTATGTTTAATTCAAAAATAATTT